ATATATATGAATGCTGTGTAGGCATATACATATATTTATTCCTTTATTTTCTGGGTATGTATTCTTTGATGTGGATACCTAGATATTTAATTTCCTTATTAGACCTAAAACATATTCCTTCAACAATATAACTGAGAAATAAACTATTCTGTGGGTTGTTGATAGGAGTGGAGAATGATACTAATGAGGTCAAATGATGGGTCATTTGCTCACAAACTGACTGATGATACTGGGTTCTATGACACAGATTTCACGCCCACCTCCAGCTGGACATGGGGCAAATGTGGGTCTAGGGGGTTGGATGAAAGTTTGTGGATGAAGGCTAAATACTCATCCTTGATAATTGAGAAATAACCCAAGGTTGACTTGAGTAATATAGATTTGAGTACCTACCATGTTCGAGGCTTAGTAGTAGGTACTGGGATGTGTGGCGATCCTATGACGATGGCATTGGATCTATTTTCCTGTATAAATGGATGCATTATTACTGAGGTTGGATTGTCTTATGGGGATTCTTTTAATGGGGAAAGATGTATGACTATTAATCCTTGGCTGGCAAAAGGCAGCCTGTTTTTATCCTGAACACTCATAGCAAAATATGATCATTAGGCTTTCACCCTGCACACCGTCAACCTGTGAGGCAAAGACTGGAGCAGGGACTCCCGAGAGACTGCACCCTCCAAGCTGTTCCAGGGAACACTTCTTATCCTTTTGGGGAGCACCCCACAAGCACTGCCCAGAGTTTGGATTCAAATAAAAAGTTAACTGATTGGGTTATTTCTACAACAACTGGTCACCGTTTACTTAAAGCAAAGCTACATAAAATCCTCCTTCCCATGGATCAAGTTGGTGAGCCCAATCTAGAAAACTGATGGACTGTGCTGGCTGGGGCGAAGAGCTGGGGTCCAGCCATCAGTGACTCGTTGGGCCTAGTTTTATTCCCTCTTTTCCACTGAGTTTGGACTCAGCGGCCTGAAACAATGCCTATGAAGCTGTCATACTCTGTTGTGTCAAAGCGACTCAAGCACCTTTGGGCTGGGACCATTGAAATGATGGACTGTTATGGTCTTCCCTCTTAATGCTCGCTTAATGCCTGTTCAGGGAGCACTTCATTTACACATCATTTACATGCTAGGCTTATGCAATTTTGGGTGAAAATTCAGCATTGCTCTTGCACAGAGGCCATGTTTTTATTTAAATAAGATGAGCCCCAGGTACCCTAAGTGCAGGCCTGCACGTGTATTTCTAAACTATTTGCAGTAAGCCTTATCACGGAATTACATGACAATTTTTAATGAAAATAATGCTCAGTTTGCAAAGGAGGAAAAATAGGCTGAAACAAGGAAACATTCGTATTTTGCTTACGGTAATTCTTAAGAAGAATTGAGAAGAATTACAGTCCTGTGTCATAAGCTTTAGCTGGAGGTTTATTACCTTATCTACATCCTTGGTTTGATAGATAGTAGGAGTACAACTGCCTGTATAATACAGACCTTGGAGCAGTCGGTCAAACCATTATGTAGTATATTCACTGGGCACTTTGAGATTATAAAGATTGTTTCTGATTTCCATGTCATAGAATTAAAAAGCAAGGAGATGGCATTACATATACACAGAAACAATCCAGATGAAAGATCAAAAAATATAGGAAAGACTATAATGGTCCACGGAAATCTCATCATACCCAGATACTGAAACCAGAAAATTCTTTTTCAAGTCTGAGCTCTATCATGTTGAAGACATGACTGGGTAACAAATGAGGTCTCTTTTCTTAAAGATTAAATAAAGACGCACATTTCACTTACTTATGGTGATTATAAATAAACAGGGTGACAATTGTAAAGTCATCGCCAGAAGTAATAGTATCAATCACTTGTAGTCTATTTCTGTTCTTTTTTTAAAAAATTTTATTTATTTTTGAGGGACGGAGAGAGAGTGTGAGGCAGGGAGGAGCAGAGAGAGAGAGAGGGAGACATAGAATCCAAAGCAGGCTCCAGGCTGTCAGCACAGAGCCGGAGGTGGTGCTGGAACCCATGAACCATGAGATCATGACCTGAGCTGAAGTCGGACGCTTAACTGACTGAGCCACCCAGGCGCCCCTATTTCTGCTTTTTAATGGGTGTGTAAAGCAACAAAACATACAATTTCTCAGACTGTTCCTTTAAGTAAAATTGGAAATGAAAGCGTTATTTGGGGGATGTTTCTCTGAATGAAGAATACTGATATTTCTAATTGAACTCCGAATTGAATTTCCGATAAACTGGAATTCAGGGCTTTCTCTCCAACTACATGGAACACTTTAGCAGATTAATGACTGATCATTTCAAGAGTCAAAAGGACTTGAACTGGCTTTGGGTGTGAGAAAATGAATCACCGTATTGCCATTTTGAGAGTTTATTTGGCCGTGGTTTGAGGTACATTAAGAACAAATAGATTTCCAAGGCAGAGTGTTGATAATACTCATTTACAATGGGTGACCAGTTGGCGATAATGTACCCTGTGTAACAGCACCTGTCCTAGCCAACCTCAGTTCCACACCTACGGTTTAGAAATGCCGCTTCCCTTCAGAGATCATGAAGCTGCAAATGACTCTGTGTACCTGACTCGCAATTCTTTTTCCTTCTCACGGCCTTCCATGCCTATAAAACTTTGGGTTCGGCCGATTTGGGCGAGTGTTTTCTTTCTGGCCTACACATCTTGACTTAACACGCGTGGACGGGCCTCTGTTACACACATGACCGGGGTCCGCGAGATTCTGCGGTCCCTGCAGAAAAGGTATTAGAAGACGGCGGAGGAAAAACGGAGAATACGAACACCAAAAGACAATTCCCCAACCAGCATGAACAAAAGATTGCCTGTAGCCACGGAGAGCCCCCCAGGACCCCACATCCCCCCCGGATGGGGGTGTTCACACGCCTCACGAGCAGCAGAGGCAGCGCTGGCCGACGGTGAAACACTGGCTCGCCTCTGATTTGCCTTTTGCCTGTTGAGCCTCCCCAGTCGGCAGCCTGTGTTTTTCCCCCAGCAGCTTCGCTCCCTGTCTGCTTCCGCTTCAGGTGCTCGGCAGCCCCTTGGCTCTTCGCCGGCTCTTTCAGCTGGCAAGCAGCTTGCCCTGCGGACCCGGAGCAGCTATGGCTCAGCCGGGACACGGCGGGTGGAAACTCCACAGGCCCGATCGGTTGTGTCCTTGGCTCGTTTAGGCTGCGACTTCAGATACACCCACCCACCCTGCCAGCGCACAGAAAGCACAGCCCCTGATGGCTGCAGGTTAGAGATGTGCGGACTGAGGCCACCAAGGGGGACGCAGGGATGAGATTTTATTTGTGTGATCTTGCTTGCTCATCTTTTGTAAGAGCCCGATTTCACAAAGAGTTTGTTTTGTTGCTTTTCAATCTTACCATACCACCAACACTTGGCTTTGTGGATCGTCCGCCTTTTACTTTTGTTTTCTATTTCATTCACTTGTGTGTTTATATTTTTACCATCTTTTTTGGTTTTTCTTTTAATGCCCTGAATTGGATGCTTAGCTCATTAGTTCTTAGTTTCTAAATTATCTAACTTATGCATTTTAGGATATACATTTCTGAGTACAATTTTTGCTATATCTGCAAGGTTTGGTGTGTAGTATTTTCATTATCATTAATTTTTTTAGAAGCACCTTATTAATAATTCTAATATTTCATGTTTAAATGATATTTGGATATGTTGGGTAAAATGAAATTCATTTCATGTATTTCTTTTTACTTTTATAATATGGCTACTGAAATTTTTTTAAAAAATTTTTTTTAACATTTATTTATTTTCGAGACAGAGAGAGACACAGCATGAGCAGGGGAGGGTCAGAGAGAGAGGGAGACACAGAATCTGAAACAGGCTCCAGGCTCTGAGCTGTCAGCCCAGAGCCCGGTGCGGGGCTCGAACTCACGGACCACAAGATCATGACCTGAGCCAAAGTTGGACGCCCAACCGACTGAGCCACCCAGGCACCCCTGCTACTGCAATTTTTAAATTAGATATGTGGTCTGTATTTGTGACACTATCATATTTCTTTTTTTTTTTTAACTTAAATCCAAGTCAGTTAATATACAGTTCAATAATGTCTTCAGGAGTAGGATTTAGTGATCCATCACTTACATACAACAGCCAGGTGCTCATCCTGACAAGTGCCCTCCTTAATGCCCCTCGTCCATTTAACCCATCCCCCCCCCCATCCCTCCAGCAACCTTCAGTTCTCTGTATTTAAGAATCTCTTATGGTTTGCCTCCCTCTCTTTTTTTTAATCTTATTTTTTCTTCCCTTCCCTTATGTTTATCTGTTCTGTTTCTTAAATTCCACATATGAGTGAAATCATGATATTTGTCTTTCTCTGACTGACTTATTTCGCTTAGCATAATACCCTCTAGTTCCATCCAGGTTGTTGCAAATGGCAACATTTCATTCTTTTTGATTGCTGAATAATACTCTATATATGTGTATATATATATATATATGTGTATATATATATCACTGAGTATATATCAATATATATGGATTGCTGAATAATACTCCATATATATATATATATATGTACACACACACACACACACACACACCACATCTTCTTTATCCATTTATCCGTCGATGGACATTTGGCTTCTTTGCATAAATTGGTTATCGTCAATTTTTGAGTATATCTAAATGTCCATGATTTTTTTCTTGAGTTTCTAAATGTTTCTTCTTAAAATTTCCAAATATGTGGGTTTCCTCCTCATCTTTTTGTTATTGGCTTCTAATCCCCACCCCACCCCACCCACCCCATTGAATTGTTTTGTGGTTAAGGACAGGTTCTATTTGACATGGATTTTTTTGAAATTTGCTGAGACTTGCCTGTTGGCCTAGAATTGTGGTCAGTTTTTGTAAACGGTCCATGTTTTGTGCTTTGGAAGAGTACATATTCTCTCAATGTTGGAGCCTGGGTTCTGCTGTCATCTGGCACACTGACCTGTACATGATGTTCAGGTCAGTGATCTCCGTGTTGAATCTTCTCCTTTTGCCCCTTCGGATTTACTTTCTACGTTTCCTCACCCTGATTTGTGCTGTGGGAGGCTGACCTGTATGAACTCTATCAAAAACTCCCCACCCTGGGCTTCTTTGGGCTCAGCCAGTGGAGATATGGGGAGGAGAGTGGGAAAATGCAGAGAGAAAGGTCAGAATAATAACTCTTCCAGCTTCCTCCTGCTGAGCCATTTTGGCAAAGACACAGTCCTCTGTCAGAGGTCTCAGAGCTTGTCAGACACCCTCTCCTTCAGCCACAGCTCTCACTGGTGTTGGTGACCAAGTCTTCTTCTCAGCCGTTTAGCCCCTGTTGCCCTGTGGCTAGCCCTGGATGTGCTTCTTCGTCCATCTATGGTGGACCTTGCCCATACCTTGTGAATATTTAATTAAACTCTCTCTCTTCATTTCATATCAGTACGGCATCATCTTGCTGCCAGGACCCAACTGATGCAATCTTTGGACCCATTTTTGCTTGCTTGACCTAACAATAATTGAGAGAGATACAATTAGATCTTCCTTTATGATGGTAGATTTGCCAATCTCTATGCTTTATGTATTTTGAGGCCATTTTTTTTTTTTTAAGTGCATGCAGGTTTGAGATTGTTGTATCTTCCTGGTGAAGTGATTCTTCTATCATCATATAGGGGCCTTCCTTCTCTGTGCTTTTTGGTCTCAGGATCCCTTTATATTATTAAAAGTTATTGAGAACCCCAGAGAGATTTTGTTTGTAGAGATTATATCTACTCACATTTGCCATGCTAGAAGTTAAAACTGAGAAAAGATTAAGACATTTATTTAATAATTCATGAAAAAATAAGAGCAATAGTCTCATTGCCTGTTAACACAAGTAACATTCTAAATTTTTTTTTAAGTTCTATTTTTGGAAACAAAGCATAGAAGAGTGCCATCACTTTATGTTTTTATAGATGTCTTTAATATCTAGTTTTTTAGAAGACCACTGGATTCTCACATCTGTTTTGGCATCTAATCTGCTGGGGTGTGTTGTTTTGTTTGAAGTTGACGTATAGACAAAAACCCAGCTTCCCACAGATACGGTTGGAAAAGGAAGCAGAGCTGTCATAACTGTTTCAGATAATTGTGGGAGTTCATTCTTGATACTACTCTCAAGCTCAACAAGTGGTGGTTCTAGATGGTTAATTCCAATATGAAGTTTGAAAACAGATCGATGAAATTTTCATATTCTGTTATATTGCAACCCGTTGATCTATCTTGTACTTTGCATGGATCACTTACCCATGCATGGCTTTATGTTATTCATTGTTCATTTGGACCATAATGGTTCACCGAGCTCTGTCGATCTTCTAAATGTTGACACATTTCATTATACAGTATAAGAAAATCACATTGTACTATGCATTGTATGTAATGAACTAACTCTAAAAATGTTTTTTGAGAGAGAGAGAGAGAGAGAGAGCACAAGTAGGGGAGGGGCAGAGAGAGAGAGAGAGAGAGAGAGAGGGAGACACAGAATCTGAAGCAGGCTCCAGGCTCTGAGCTGTCAGCACAGAACCCAATGCAGGGCTTGAACTCACGAACCGTGAGATCATAACCCGAGCTGAAGTTGGGCACTTAACCGACTGAGCCAAACCAGGCACCCTTGTAATGAACTAACTCTAGCTTCAACTCTGCTTCCAATTCACTGTCCTTAGAAAGTTATTTTGAGCTTTAGTTTTCCCACGTGTAAAATGGGGGTGATAATTATACTTTTCTCTCATGGTGTCTTGGAGGAAGAAATTTGATAGTGGTTGTGAATGCATTTTATGAATGTTCTGATGCAATTTGGACAGCTGTAAGGATTGAAAGATTAGAAAATAGTGTCTTTATTGTCTCTTCTTTAAAAGTGTCCAGATATCAACCTTTTAAATAAAGGCATAGTTATATTATCATTCATAGTCTCCTACCCATAAAGTAATTGATAGAAGATTCTTTTTATTTTTTTGCCATGGGAATCAATAAAGTAATTTGCATTTTGAGTGAACAAAGGAACACATTTAGTCCATTGATGTGTTTAGTTTTCTTGAATTGGGCCTTGCTAACGATGAGGTTCAACTTTTCCATTGTATGGAAAAAGTAGCTGAAAACCTGATTTCAGTGACTTGCCCAGGGAGGGACATAGGCCATGTGAAAGGCAGACTTGGGTCAAAGTCTTCATTTTCTGATGCCAGTGTTTGTTCCATTATACTGCCTCTCAAATTTCTATTGGTGACATTTTGGGTATCTTCACAGGGAGGAAGAGAATGTATAGGTATTATTTTTATTTTTTAATTTCTATCTTTCTAAAATCAGATCATCCTTTTCACCGATTCTTTCTGGATGCCTGGCAACCTTCTGAATACTTGAATTTTTTTTTTTTGTCAGTGCATTTGAAGGTCAACACCTCTTCAAAGGAAAAAAATAAGAACGGTGAAAAAAGTTTTCAATAGTCATCACGTCATTTATTTGCTGACTCTGTTTGCATAGAATTGCTAACCGGCAGGGTACACGATCTTGTAAATTCATAAGGGCAAAGGTTTAGTGAGCTGCATTGAATGTGGAGTCTCTTTTTCAGGCTGGCTTGACATTACACTAAACCTGTTTCCTTCTATTGGCAGGAACTTGTACCAGACCCCAGGCTGCATACTGTGACCCATTCAGCTCAAGATTTTATCGGGCAGACATTGCCAGTATGTATTCCCTATTACAGCAAAAATATAGTTTACACCTCGATCAAACTTTGATGGCACCCCTAGCAGGGTTCAAAGTTCACGGGGGTACCATGCATGGAGGGGAATGAGGTGGATGGGAGCAGTTGCCATAATGAAAGCTCTGAGGATGTTAGGCCCTGCCTCGCTGCCTCTGCCTCTCCCAACTCCTTTCCAAGGGATCATCATGCCCTCCTCGTAGAACCTGCGCTGCCCTCTCTTCTGAACTAACCAGGAAATGCAGCCAAGATTCAGTATTACCCACCTCTCCTCCACTCCCTTGCTTATTCGGTGGGGTTTGGGATGAATTTTCTCCTTCCCTGTCTCAACAGATAGAGGCCATCAGTCTTGTTTGTTCCTAAGTAACATTCACTATCAGTGAACCTCATGGCCCAGAGAAAGGATCCCAGGAATCCGAGTTGCTTTTGGATTATCTTCTCTTGTGTTACCTCCTGCCTCATCCCCAGCCCCTTCCCATGATGCTACTGGCTTCCTCTGAACCCCAGAGTGGTGTGTAAGGGCCTGTCAGGGGTTTCTGCCTTAATTTTGCTGGCGTTCTTTCCCAGGATGGAACCCTAATCTTGAGAGTGCGGCAGGGCAAGGGGATGGGACTGGGTCGGGTGGGGTTGGGGGAAGTGGAATTGAGAAGTTATCCTCAAGTGTTGATCGATTCGTGGAGAAGATGTTGGAGCCTCTATTTCAAATCCAATGAAATATCCTCTAGAATCATTCCCAGAACACACACACACACACACACACACACACACACACACACTGAGCTTTGCCTAAGGGGCAAACTCTATAAAGATATAAAGAACATAAACTTTGAACAAAGGAACACATTCTAAACTTTAGCCCTAAGACTGGACCCAAAATGAACATCCCTTCCCCACAGAAGAGCGAACAAACAGTCCCCCCCCAAACAACAAATCAATAAAAGAGTCACAAACAGCACAGCAACTGTCAGGTTCACAGACTCATTCTGCAGTTAATGATACAAATACCAACCGAATGTGCCTGAGTCTCGAGCCGTCCATTCAGATGCAGGAGACCATCTACAGTGTGAGAGAAACTGAAGATACAATAGGCACCAAATTATTTGGAGAGAATATGAGCCAAATACCCAACCGACCAAACAAACAAAAAATGTGGATGAGAAAGAAATGGCTGAATATACTGAGTTATGTAAGAGTCTGAGAAAGAATTCATAGGGGTTCTGGAAACACAATTTCATCAAGAGCTGGAGGAAAATGAAAAGGAAGACAGCAGGCGTAATTGCCATGAGCAATCGTTTCCTGCTGAGACAGAAGAGTCTTACTATCAGCTCTGTAAGAATACATCCAGGCAAATACAGAAAACATGGAAATAAATACTTCTCATAAAATCAAGATGGGAGGACAAAAGGGCACCCAGAGACATGCCATGTGTAGCAGAAAAGAGAGTGGGCAAAGGCCAGATAAGGTGATAATAGAAAAAGAGAAGTGAGAAAATTACATCTCTGTGGGCATCATTAGGGTGAAGGAAGGCAGGCAAATAGAAAGTGCTTAAAATGTAACAGAGTGAAGCATCCAGAACACCACAGGTCAAATCCTGTTAGAGCAAATAGTGTCACAAAGGAAATCTCTTTATAACGGAAAAAGGAAGAGAGTAAGTGCAGGAGAAAAAGTGGCAGCCAGAAGTCAGGAGAATCGGGTTGTAATTCAGGTTCTTTTACCACCTTGGCTCTATTTCCTTGGGGGTATTTGCTGACCTTTTCTGGGTCAGAGCTTCCTGGTCTGTAACTTAGCCCAGGGTGGTGATCTGTGACTTTTTGACAGCACGACCCCTTTAAGAATCTGATGAAATTTACACATTTTCTCAGCAAAGTTAACATGGCTTATACTAGATTTTTCATACTGCTTCCAGGGGGTCTGCTCTCTTTTGGAAGGGGACACTGGACATGAGGTTTAGAATTGCAACCTAGCCTGGGCTTTTCCAGCTTGGCAAACCTACGGGTCTACGATTTCCAGGTGGTAAGCATCTGCTGATTGCGCACAGTATTGAACTCAACACAGTGAGGCACAGCGCAGACTGCCAGAGCTGTGGAAAGGGGGTTCTTCTCTCAGCAGTGGAACCTGAAGGAGAAAGGCAGTGGGGCGATTGGCAAGCGGGCTCGCCGTACTTGCCTCTTCTGCTTTAGCAGCACTGGGTCTTTTTTTTTTTTTTTTTCCTTCAGTTTTCTTGTTTTTATTTATTTATTTATTTATTTAGAGCAGGGGAGGGGCAGAGAGAGAATCCCAAGCAGGCTTTGCCAGAGCAGAGCTCGACACGGGGTTTGATCTCATGAGCTGTGAGATCATGACCTGAGCTGAAATCAAGAGGCAGACGCTCAACTGACTGAGCCACCCAGGTGCCCCATCGATGTTTTTTTGTTTTCTTTTTTTAATCCACTTGATACTTCGGTGAAATGTAACCTAACCTGCTTTAGGGGCGTGTTTTGGCTCAATTATTTTTGTTTTGGTTAGCTCATGTTCTTTGCCTTGCCCCACCCTCTCCCTCTTCCCTTTCTCTGACCTCCTTTCCGTGTCCTCCCTTTCCCTCCCTTTTGATGAAGTGATGAAGTGCTTAAGGCTGGTGCCTTGGAGGTGGGTGACCTCAGAAAGAACCTTCCGTGTGCTGGAGGTGGCGCCAGGACAGACAGAACTAACAAAAAATATAAGACGCGTCTCTACTGTCGAGGAATTTATAGGGTAGCTGGGAAGGTGAGCTGCGAACAGGTAAAAAGTAAAGGCGCCATATAGGATTGGCGCACGAGAGACTGTACAGTAAGGGAAGGGTCCTCAGAGTGTGTGTCTGCCGTGTGGATGAGCCTCGCGGGCTCATGCTACAGGTTTCAAGTTGTTGAGTCAGTGGGCCCGGGAAGGTGTCGTGGAAGAGAGCCACCTTGATGCTGGGTGGGCTGGGCCTGGAAGGGTATGTTTGGTACTGATGGTTGGGGAAGTTCCCTGGAGGGGGTGAGAGGGCATTTGTCTTAGTCTGCTTGGGCTGCTGTAACAGAAGACTGCTGTCTTCTCCCTGTGTCCTCACGTGGTAGCAGGGGCGGGAGAGCTCTCCGGGTTCTTTTCTAAGGCCACTGTTCCCTTCGTGGGAGCTCCGTGCTTGTGACCTAATCACCTCCCAAAGGCCCCACCTCCAAATATCCACACACGGGGAATTAGGTTCCAACATGAGTTTTGAAAAAGACACAAACATTTGGTCTGTAGCAGCATTCTTATCCAAGTTCACCTTTGTTCTCTCCTTTCCCTTCCAGGGGTCTCTCAGTCTCTGACTCAGATTACAGTTTAGAACACAACATGGCAGGCCACGTCAAATGGAGCCAATCTTTGAACTAAGGAGAAGAGCGCTTCTGCACCTACCAGGAAATGAAAGAAAAGCAGGAGTGCCTACTTTTCTGGAAAACCCATTCATTCATTCAGTAAATATTCATTGGACACCCGCTATGTATCAGGCATTGTGCTACACTGTGGGAATACAGCAGTGGACAAGACATAGGTGGCCCTGAGCTCTTGGCATTCAGTGAAGGAAAGCCAGATACCAACTTGCACCGTGACCGGGAGCCCTGTACTCAGAGGACATCTGGCTACAGCACTGTTGACCTTCCTGATTTCAGGTCAGTTTAGAAGTCCGATATATCCTACCTTTATTCTATCAACCCCTGTTCTATTATTCAGTTGGGGGTTGGTTGGTGGGGGCCACCATGAGCAGCCACTTACCCAGGAGCAGAGTCTCTGATTCACGAAAATGACAAACATACTGAGAGAACATATAAATCGAAACAGTACATGGAGTCCCAGCATCCAGTTCCAGACTAATGAAGCTAGCAGTGTGGCAAACGTGCCGCATAGAAATCCTCCTGAAGGTTGGGAGAGGTACATTATAACGATTGGTGGTTTTCCCGAGAATACAAATAGCAGGTAGGAACATGTCGAGCTTTTGAAAAAATGCCAAAAACTAGGCAGCACAACAGAGATAAATAAAATACACAGTAAAGAGGCAAAATAATAAAATACTGTAATTTGGCCTCCCAGCATGAAGGAGGGAAGCTGAGACTGGAAGAATGGATTAGAATTCATGAGTCATTTGCTTGGTTTTGAACTGATGGAGCCCCAGCTGGCTGGAGAGGCCCGAGCGAGCGGGTTGTTCTTGCTTGCAACCCTGAAATCCCTGTAGAGTGGACTGGCTCTCCCAATCTTTCTTCTATGAGGCTAACCATTTATTTATTTATTTATTTATTTATTTATTAGCAACAACTTTGGGCCCAGTTCTGTGCTAGGCATTCATATGAATTACCTTCCGTTGTCACAAAGTCCTGCAAGGAACGTATGAGGAAGCCAGGGCTCAGAGATGTGAGTGACCTACTCTAAAGTAACTCAGCTAGTGTGGAGGCCACAGCTAATCCCAGTCTTTCAGACTCTGCTGTTGGCATCCCCCTACTGTGGCCTCCCACCTCCCCTGTCCCATGGCTTTCTGTGCCCCTTGGCACTTGACAGATGACGTCTGGGTGAGAGGCAAAGCAAGAGCTTCATAAAAGTGAACACCAGGGAGCCATGCAGGCTAGAAATATCTCCATCCATCGATAAAAGGCAGGGGCAGACTTTTAATTGCCTACTTCTGGGGTTACCTTACATCAGGGTCTGCTACTGGCATGATTTAAGAAATAGGTCCCATCTTGTAGTTCTGAAAAGTAGGAAAGTGCTTAAAACAAACAAAACCAAACTCCACTTGATTGGAGGTATGTCAAAGGGAGACAGGAGCCAACTGGAAGAACTCTGGGTGGCCAAAGGTGGACCAATTTAAGTGACAAAATAAAATAGAATTGGATTATAACCCGAAGTGTAAAATAAATATCCCAGAGTCCATACTGGTTCCAATGACTGAGCAAATAAATAAACGAAGGAGAAGGCACGAATGTCTTGTGCAGAAGAATCCCAAATGATTTATGTAGATACCTCCCTCTCGAGGGGGCACACACAGCTTCCCATCCCTTAAATGGAGGCAGTGACTTCTTTCCAAAGAGTACAGTGTGGATGGGGGTGTAGTGGTGAAATCTGGCAAATACTACCTCAGCCAGATACTCAAGGCCCACATCTACTGTGATAAGTCATGTTGACGGTATGTACTCTTGATCTCATGTGATGACAGTGACACTTTACCTCTATGACCTTCATCCCAAACCTCCAGAATCCCGGTTAGAAGAGCATTCTATAGAGCGATTGCCCAAACCATGCAAAACTGGTCATCAATAACAAAGAAAGTCGAGGGGTACCTGGGGGGCTCAGTCGGTTTAGTGTCCAACTTCGGCTCGGGTCATGAGCTCACAGCTCGTGGGTTCAAGCCCCGCATCGGGCAGACAGCTTGGAGCGTGGAGCCTGCTTCATATTCTGTGTCTCCCTCTCCCTCTACCCCTCCCCAACTCGTGCTCTGTCTCTCTCTCTTTCTCTCTCTCAAAAATAAACAAACCCTAAAAAAATTTTAAAAAAATAACAAAGAAAGTCTGAAAGGCTGTCAGAACCAAGAGAAGCCTAAGGAGACACAATGGCTAAATGTAATGTGATGCCTGGATGAGATCCTGGAACAGAAAAAGGACATTGGGTTAACAGTGAGGAAGTCTAGTAAAATGTGGATTTCAGTCAAAAATAATGTGTCAGCACTGATTCATTAATTGTAACAAATGTACATATTAATGAGGGATGTTAATATTAGGGAGAACTAGGTATGGGGGTATATGGGAATTCTCTGTACTCTCGTCAATTTTCTGTTAATCTGAAACTGTTCTAAAAAGGAAAGTCTATTTAAAAAACAGGTTAAATTCTAATAGTGAGATATTTTGAGCATGAATTTAAGCTGTCTCATGTGGACAGGGAATATTGCCTTATTGCAACTCCAGTCCTGTACTTGACCTTCAGCTCATACCAATGGCTGTCTGGGTGCCCTTTTGGCCTTTGGAAAGGTTTGGTAGAGGGGGCCGCCCACTGGGAAGCCAGTGGGTACAGGAAACTAAGCCTCGTACCTCCTTTGTGACTGAGACTCCTGCAGGTGAGGGCATTGATGGGCCGTAGGTAGGGGAGGGCAGTTTAGTGGCTTGAAACTGAATTGGCTGGGACGAGGCTGGGCTGGGAGAGGGGGTATTAAGAACAGCCTCCGAGGTGAGGGCGGGCTCCTGGCCTTAACCCCCACACACCGGCAGGCCCACTTTTACACCAAATCCTACGTTTTGATCTTCCCTCCATTCATGTAAGTACATTTTCACCAAGCACTCTTACGTGCCCTACATTGTGCTCTGTGTTGGGTCTGTAATACTTATATTCCAGTAGCAAAGATAAAAGTAAACTGATAGATGATTCCAAATCTGATAAGCCCTTGAAAGAAACAGAGTACTAGGACAGGCAATAAGGGGAGGGGTCCTAATTTAGATGGAATAGTTAGCCAAGGCCTTACTGAAGAGAGGACACTCAGGCTGAGGCCTGAAGGATAAAAGAGAGAAGTCGCGCAAAGCATGGAGTTCTGGTAAAGGGAACAGCATGTGTGAGGGCTCAGAGGCAGGAATGAATTCTGCATGTTTGAAGAACTGAAAGAAGCCACCTATAAAACAGTTTTATTTTTATTATTATTTTTTAATAAACCTCTTCTTTTTAAAATGCTTATTTATTTTGGGGGGGGGGAGCAGAGGGAGAGGGAGAGAAAGAATCCTAAGCAGGCTCCATGCTCAGCACAGAGCCTGATGCAGGGATTGATCCCAAGAACTGTGAGCTCATGACCTGGGCCGAAATCAAAAGTCAGACGCTTAACCAGGTAAGCCACCCAGGCACCCTATAAAACAGTGTTTTTTACACAAAAATAATGATCTTTAGATGCAAACAAGACAGAACATAATTTATATTTTATTCCATTTCGTCTTTTTCTTTACACTTCATTCCAGAAATTGAAACATATAACTTTGGTATAGTTGTCATCCTTTGTAAAATGGTGTTTTTTGACCTTTGCTAAGTAAACGGAAGTCATACAGGCTGACTTCTCCACGTGGTCTGGATGTAGCATGACACATTTTTCTTTTCTTTTTGTCTCTCTATTGTTTGGGATCCTTCTCATCTGGTGGGAGCAGAGTCTTTTAATAATCAGTAGTGCAGCCAAGCTGTGCGAGGTGATTGATCTGAGCAAAGAGGAAGTCTGTCTTGTTCCACTCTGAAGATCAGGACGGTCCTAGGCCTGCTTGCACGGAGTGCGGTCAGCATGGCTAGGGGGCCTCTAACTATCACCTCAAAGGTCTTCAACTGATTTGTTCCATCTACCCCCCAGTGGGGATGCCTTGTCACCCCGTCTTCTGTTCTTTAGCCTACAGGTACCCCGGGGTGCATTGAAGGAGGTCGTCCATGCGCAGAAGGCTGATGGGTCTGCACGAAGACATGGGCCCTGAGTCTCTCCTGATGAAGGGGTGGTGGGTTGCATGTTGACCACATGCACAGCCCCCGGGTGCAGAAGGAGAGTCAGCTGGTTTGAGGGGGAAGTTTCTTGCCTGCAGGGCGGTCAGGGTGACCCATCCTCTGTGGGCTCCCTTTGTGGGTAGCTTTCCCAGGCTCAGCCCCCAGTTCAACCTCTCTTAGTCTTGAAGAGATGCAGACATGCTTCCCCTTTCCTTCCTGCGTCTCTCAGAAGGACAGAGACAGAGAGATGAAGACCCATCAGAGGCTGACTCTGTATAGACTACCAGGGGACTTGGTGGGAAAAAAGCAGGCTCAGACCCCTCCCTGGGCTCCAGTGGGCTTGTGGTTGGCAGGTAGCATGTGGATGCTGTTTCCATCGCAGGCCTGGAGGGAGTCCCTGCCGGGTTGAAGAGTGGGAGAGCCCAGCCCTCCTTCTGGCTACCCCGAGGTCCATCTCTGCAGCCTTTAACAGGCTTCCACATGTTTCTTTTTTCCGTCTTATAAGCCCTTGGGATTTGGCCCACTTGTGTCTCATTTCCAAATTCTCCCTCTCCTGGAGCTGTCTTCAAAGGCGGCTGCTTCGTTTCCATCAACCCTCCTTCCTTGTTCTCACTGAAATAAGTGCACAGTGTTCTTCATTTTTAAGAACTTTTTACAGTTAGTGTCTCCATGGAGATGACACAAGTAACAAATATGCGGACAGGAACACAGACTCAAGAAATAGCAGTTGAGGGGCGCCTGGGTGGCGCAGTCGGTTAAGCGTCCGACTTCAGCTCAGGTCACAATCTCGCGGTCCGTGGGTTCGAGCCCCGCGTCGGGCTCTGGGCTGATGGCTCGGAGCCTGGAGCCTGCTTCCGATGCTGTGTCTCCCTGTCTCTCTGCCCCTCCCCCGTGCATGCTCTGTCTCTCTCTGTCCCAAAAATAAATAAACGTTAAAAAAAAAAAAAAAAAGAAATAGCAGTTGAGCACTGTTCTGAGTTTTACCCTGGGATAGAAATGGCCTTGGCTTTTCCCAGCCCTCCCCTCTCCACCCCCTTCTAGGTGGTATTTGTAATGATTGTCCTGTCCCGCCTTCTCCAGGTTAGGAGCTGAACCAAATACCTTAGATTTTACGTATTTTGAGGTAGGGGTCACTTCCGGGATTGCCAGTCATATCTTGACCATAACCGGCTCCCTGCAGAGGGCACTTCCTGTGGCTCTCCTCAGGCCATCTTGCCTGCCCCCGGGCAGCTGCTTTTGGTGTTTCTTGGTAGTCGCTGTGGTGTCTGCCTCTAGGTGTCCTCCCTGGGGCCCCAGCCCTCTTCTCTCTTCCCAGTTTGATTTACATCTGCCTTAGCTATTGGCAAGTTGTTGCAATCTTAGGTGAAC